CCTCTTCCTGAAAGTTTTACTCTATAAACCGTTGGTTACGCCTTGCCCGTCTTCTTACCCGTTCATTGCAATAGCCATATCGCTCTTCACCGTAATTGCGAGCGTTGACATAAATTGCATTTAGTTATCGTAGATAGCAGGAGCTATCTAAATTGCTGAATCCGTACAATTTTACGGACCGCAATGCCTTTTGCGTGTCATACCTATTTTGGGGTTTACTTTGCATTTTTTCGGTCATTTCTATTGTATTAGCATTTGGAATTTTTCCCTCGGCTTTATGTATTTTTGTGATGCTCGGAGAATAAGCCGGTAGTAGGGACAATGTTTTTGCCTATTCCACGCTTAGCTGTCGGTATGGTTTACAGGTATTGCGCAACAACGGGATGGCGTCTGATGACCAAACACGTTATACTAAGGCTGAACCTTGCGCAAGTTGGGCCATCGGAAGATATCATCATGATGCACACAAGCGAAAATAGGTATAGGCTCTGGGACATGTGTTACGCATGTCACCAGATAGGTTGCCACGGCGAACGATGTTTGCCAAGGCTGGTACCGATTGGAAAAAACGAAGGGTGGTCAAGCTAAGACCTGGCATGAGGGTATGAAAACCCTAACCAGGAGACTAGGTCACATAGGCCCCGTTGGGCTCCCTGGTTGGGGACCTCAGGGTGGTCACCGATGGTTAGCTACACTGAGTGATATGGCTGGGTGTCGCAAACAGTGGCGCTCGTGCATCCACTCGTTATTTTCCTCACACCACTCTATATGTATTCCCCATCTTCTGCTTGAATTTGCTTCGACATTGCAATCTTCATTTCGCTCTTTTATCGAACTGGGCAACCAAAGCCGGCACACGCAAGTGCATGGTTAATGGTTGTAAAAACTGGAACTGAAAAATAGGCTCTTAAAGGAGCGTATACTGTCTGAGGCTTTTCCTTCCAAACGGACTAGGTTGACGCAATTTTCTCATACTCTAACATTCAGAAAGAAGAAACCTTTAGTGCTTCTTTGCGAAATGCACCAAGTAGCCGATCTATCTCTCCTTCATGAATTACTTCTGCTAGCGTTGTGGTTACAGCCAATACGGAACGCTGTATGCGATATCATCGTGGCTGTACCTCACCTATACAAATCATTTAGTGGGTGCTGTGCCCGTAGGGCAACAGCTACACGCAATTTCGCCAAAGCCTCTGTCTGCCTCTTACACTAGCGAAAAGGATAAGGAAATCTAGTTATCACCCGCAAAAATTGCCCAACTGTCTACGACTTACCGACAGGGTAGACAGCTGGTTATTCTGGATAACCTGCAACACTAGATGATTGAACATAGTCATGAGAGTTCACAGAACAAGCCGCTCAACTTCACGCGGCTGACGATCGACGTCGCGCTGCCCTAGACTCGGATACCATCGCTGAATACTGTTAGGACGGAGCCTAAGCAACCCGTCCGATCACGCACGCCTCCGAGTCAGGCCACACGCACGCTCGCAACGCTCCAGACAGGCTGAACCTGATTGGATGATCAAAGAACGTGTCAGCCAATGTTTTGTCCAATCGATCAACCGACATGTCAGGGACACAATCTGATTGGTGCGTCACTGCGCCGTTCTCGAACGCACGATGAGTTCTATATGTTTTACGTTTCGATAACTCAACGACGAATATAGGCTGACTGTGTCTGAATCTGTGTCCTCTCCGCGTTGTCGTTGGGGTTAAGCAACAGTCGCTCGTGTCATTCGTACGCCTAGACCAAACACAACAGATACCACTGTGAGTTCAGTGATAAGGCTAGGTGTACTAAGCCGCCGATCATTGGAAAACTAATGGGCCGACGTGTCACTACGACAACTAAATCCGGCATGTCCTACACACCTTATCTTTTCTACTTTATAGGCCGGAATTCTCTTCGACATTGCCCGGTAGGCACCGGGGTCGAAGTGTGCGTCATTCCCAACATCAGCACCACCGAAAAACACGCTCGCAAACATCTTTAGGCGGCAAATGTGACACTTATAAAGACCTACGACCAGAAATTATTTTCCTTAGTTCTCAATCTGCGTCGTAACTTCTCTTGGGTTCACTACATAGCGAACGGCCCATTCACTATATTAGGAGTTCATTTCCTGCAACATATCGACTTATTAGTAGACGAAAGGAGGCATAGCCTGGTAGACCGCATAAGGAAACTCGAAACTAAGGGGGAAACGTTGAATACACCTATTATTAGCCCGTTATTTTGATTCCCAGAGAATCACTCCCATTTGACGCACTCTTGTGTGAATATCCATCGCTTGTCCATTCTTCATAGCTTAGGCAGAACACCACTCAATCAATCAGGGTCCTCCTGTTCACAGCTGTCGTCATAGGTTATCCTCCGATAAACATAGAGTAGTAAAGATGGAGTTCGAACAAATGCTGCACTGGGAATTCGTTCGTCCTTACCACAGTCTCTGGGCCTCTCCACTGCATATAACTGCTAAGGGTTCTGGTGACTAGCCTCCTTGTGGCGATTAACGGGCCTCGACAGGGGCAAAATTTCAGATAGCTACCCTATTCCTTACATACAGGATCTGACTGCGAATCTTGCTGGTAAGTCGTTCTTTAGTAAGATTGATTTCAGTCGCGCGTATATTCAGATGCCTGTCACTGAAAACGACATTCTCAAAAGGGCTGTCATTGCTCCCTGTGGGATTGTCCAACTCGTTCGCATGCAGTTCAAACCGTGCAACGCTGCTCAGATCTTCCAACAGTTCATCGATCAGGTCTGCCGCAGCCTTGAATATTTCTACTGCTACCTCTACGACACTTTGTTAACCTCCTCCTCAACAGAAGATCATCAACGCCATCTACGTGCACTTTTTGAACGTTTACCTCAATATTGGATAGCAATCAACGTTTCGATGTGCTCCTTTGGTCAATCGTCCGTCAAATTTCCAGGCCACGTCTCGGTCGCTGGGATGCAAACTCTCCCGGACGAAACCTGTGCTACCGCCGACTACCCAACACCTCTGTCGTTCCGACAGCTAACCTGTTTTTTGCTGGATTAGTGAACCTCTATCGTCGTTTTAGTCTCGGGTGTCTCACTGATGCAATTTTTATCCGATGTCCTCAAGGGCAATGGAGAACTTTTCGAATTCTCATCGTCATACTTTGATGTTTTCAACGTGCTATCGATAAAATAGTACCTCTAGCACACCCCGACCCAGACGTACCGTTAGCTCTCTTCACCGATGTTTCAGACTTAGTTGTAGGTGCGGTGCTTCAAATAAGCGTACGAAATCGTTGGCGTTCTCTTCTGAACGCTTACAACTTGCCGAATCTGGCTATACTACCTTTGATAGGAAATTTTTGGTGGTTTATCTTGACATCCAACATTTCCAATACGCGTTGGAAGGTAGATCGTTTACCGTTTTTACCGACTACAAGCCGTTAACATTAGCCTCTCGTTCATCTTCCAACAGGTATTTTCCGTGAGACATGAGACATATAAACTGATACTCAGTTTGCGAGCAACATACGCCGTGTCTCAGGTGTTGAAAACCCCGTGGCAAATGCTTTGCCACGCATTGAATCTTTTAACACATCCTCGACGTCAATAGACCTAACTGCTCTTGCGAACGCGGGAAGCAACTAACCTGAAACAGAATTATTGCACACGGATTATAAATAACACTTTCAGATGACTTGGAAGAGGTAAACGCCTCATCAAATTATTTTGTAGAATATACAAACAGATTGCCGTCAGAAGCCACAATTCCATTGGATCGGTATGGAAAAAGAAACCGTAAGATTGATTGATTATATGTTATAACGAAAAATCTATAAGAAAACCCGTTGTGTACATGATTCAAGTACGGAGGATGCTACCACTACGAAGCATCGAATCGATCATGATGTTTCACCACCCCCGCAATTATTAGACAAAATGTTCGAGTGCCTATCCAAAGAAAGGTCGCCGAAGGACATTAACTGATACAGCAAATTATCGGGCTTCTTCACAGGTAACTATCGACCGTTCTCAATTCCCATTCGTCTCGAACAAATGAACGTTAAGCAGTAAGTAGTAAAAATTGTCTATAATATAACAAGTGTTAAGCTTCAGCCTCCGAAATCTTCAATAAAAAAAGTGTCCCGTAAGTTATCATCGTACTTTGATAATCGGAATAGTACTGAATGTAGGTATATGAGAACCCGTACCGCAATGCTCAGAACTGGATTGGCTCCAACCCGAACTGCGGACACTAATGAAACACACGACGAATTGATAGCAGCAAATGCTTATGTTTATTGATAGAATTAAAGCATGTTTTATAGAAGGTAATAGACCATATGATTGATTGAAGGACCGTCGTCCAATCACGTAACCGTTTGCGCCGACGCATCATGTGTAGTAACTCAGATATCACGTTCGTCCGGTGAAACATGGCCGAGCTTCCTGAACGGTGATAGGATGACATAAAGCTGTACCTGGTCGTGCCTGGATTGCGGTCACGTAAGTCTGGATCACCATAACTCCTTTCCCTCAGGAGTGCCTCGTCAATCTGGCTCGCCTGACGGCTAGACCTGCAGACTGCAATCGCTGGCTCCTCCTGTTCATGGTGGTGTTCTTGCGTTTCGATTGTTTGTGTTTGCTCATTTAACTGATACGGCTCCGTCGGGGGTTTTGACGGGAGTTGCACGTGATTGTCTCCTTTGTCCCCTAATGCCACCGCTCCGCGTGTTGGAAAGTGTTGTTTGAATTGATTGTTTGTTTTACTGCATCAATTAGGTTTTTATGATTCGTCCGCATAAGACTTTAATTTTGCAGACCGAACAATCTGATTGGTCCAGGTTTATATTTAAACTCGTGACTCGTGTCCATTGGACTAGGGAAAATAAACCGCGAGCGTTTTTTGAAGAACTAACTTTTGATATGATTGCAGCGGAAAATGATGCGAAATTCGCAGTGTCGAAGAGACTGAGTAGTCGCCTGCAGGTTCAACCACCGGTGTACCTGACTATGGAGGAGACGGGGCGATTGGCTGACAACTGGAGACTGTGGCGAACACAGTATGGAGACTTTCGTACATTGACAGAGTTGGACCGCGAATCCAGTCGCGTACGATTTGTCCGGCTGCTCTGCGTTTCATAAATAGATTCACGTACAGGCCGGATGAGAACCGTGCAGATTGGTAGGTGGTGATGGCGAAGATGGAGTGTGTTGTGGCCTGCGGTCGAGTGAAACGTTTACCGCGCATCATGTGTTTGACCGTTGCGGCCTGCCACCACACGCACGGACGCACGTTATGCGGACTTACTCTGTTACA